ATCGCCGTCAGTTTTTCTGGTTCCCGGTCTATTCCTTCACCGTCCACGACGTGACCTAGGAATTTGATCTGTGCCACCCCGAATGTGAATCCTACCGACTGCGCCAATGTAGGTATTGTACGGAATGGGTAACAGACAACGACACTTTGTTAACGACAACACTCTTTATTGTAACTTAAATTAACAAGAGGATAATATGGTTAACGTCCGGCGACCGTTGTTCTAAGCGAACTGTCCATGACGGCCAGACCGGTCGTCGCACGACCCAGTCCCGTCGCGTTATCGCGGACGAGAATAAAGCAGCCGCGGCCGTTGCGATAACGTCCGCGACAGGAGACCTTGAAGATATAGGACAATAATACATTTTACCTGCAAGTCCTAGACATATGCATGAGTATACACAAGACGCTCTTTGTATAGCGCAAACGAAAAGAAAACTTGCTTATTTATGACATTTACATATAACACTCAATGGCCTGAAATAACAGAAAACTCGTTACCCCATCAGCAAGCAAGAGATAGACATGATTTAGTAGCGAGATTATTCAAATGTAAATTGAAAAAATTGATTGATTTAATAAAAAAAAGCAATGTATTTGGCGAAGTTGTATCCTGTATTTATTCCATAGAATGGCAGCAAAAGGGATTACCACACGCTCATATTCTAATATGGTAGAAAAATAAAATACACCCAGACAAAAATGATAACATAATTTCAGCTGAATTACCAAATCCAGAAAAAGATCCTATATTATTTGACATAGTCACAAAACACATAATACATGAACCTTGTGGAGATTTAAATGTCAATTCACCCTGTATGAAAAATGGGAAGTGAAAATGTAATTATACTCGAGCACTGATTAATTAAACAAGAACAAATTCTAAAATTGTTCAACAAAAATTAACAAATGATAATATCCATTAGATTTATCTTAAACCGTGATTAGTACTTTATTCATTATTGTATTGTTATGATTTGATAAAAAATATATCTCTTTACAATTAAGACTAAGCGTTTTCGATTTCATTTGATTAGAGGGGTCACACTACATTTTTTTTTGGTAAAAAATAATTTACCGGTAAAAAAAAATTGGTAAAATTTACGGTAAATTTTTTAACCGGTAAAAATATATCCTGTACATTTACACCACTCACATCC